GCTCCCTCTGGTTCCCTGGGTGTCTAGAGGTTTCCCACACACTACAGAGTAAGCCACTTATGCACAAAGTGGAAATGAAGTGGAAAGCAAAAATGGTATCCTGGCCAGCTACCCTCATCCCTCGCACCGTCAATCCTTTTGTTTGCCAAGTCAAGATTTACTTTATACTCGGGGCACAAGCCCCCATATCTACCTCAAAGTCCAGAACCTGTGGTGATATGCACAGTCTTGTCTCCTGTTTGTGTGGCTTCTCTTTGTCCAACCATTCAACCACCAAAGGCCTGGTAGACCACCCTGGTTACCTGCTCAGGCTGAGCGGGACCGCCAGCCACTGCTGGGCTCTTGGACTCTACTTTCAGTCTTCCTGTTGGCTCAGCCCTTCTCTCTGGGCGGGTGGGGAAATCTTCCTTCGTCATCCTACTCCTTGGCGATAAGGAAGATGGCAGAGCAAGCTATCCCTAGGAACAACGTACCGCCCCCACTGCTAGCCCAAGTCTAGTTGGAGTAAATAATCAATAGTATTAGTCATCACTTGCTGTTCAGACAGCAAAGGAGAAATTGCCCATGTTCGGGTAAGATTGATGTACTAAGTGCTTAGAGTTGGAAATACTAAGTAACTACCTTCAAAAAAAATTTGAGGGCTTCAGTAGGTAAAGGTGCTTGCTTTGCAATATTATTAGCCTGGAACATTCAATCTCTAGAACCCACAGGGTAGAGGGAGAGAAAGGGACTCTTACAAGCTGTCCTCTGATCTCCACACGCAGAGTATCATACATGCCCTGCCCTATCCCCACGCATGTTTCTAAAGTTAAACACAAATTGAAGTGGGAAGTTCTCCAGTTCAAGGGACAAATTCTCATTCACACTAGGCAATCAGTGACTTTTCTCCCCGTAAACAAGGCTACACTGGAGCCCAATTTACCACTGGCATCAATTATCAACTGAGACAATAACAGCACATAACACATGAGCCCAAACTTGGTGGTATGAACTAATAACACATAAGAGTTTGTGGGTTAGCAATTAGGACTGGATGTGATAATTCTGGTCTTTTTAGAAAAAGATTTATTTTTATTTTACATGTATGAGTATCTTGCCTGCATGTTTGTCTATGCACCATGTATGTACAGTAGCTGTGGAGGTCAGAGAAAGATACTGCCCTGAAACTGGAGTTACGGTTTTGAGTTGCCATGTAGGTGCTGGGAACCCAACTCAGGTCCTCTGCAAGGGCAGTGAGCGCGCTTAACTGCTCGGCCTAATTCTTCCTGTCTTTACCAAATTAACATGTCAGTTGAGACTGGGGGTGGCTTAGACATAGTCCCTCACTTTCCACACGTGGCCTGGGCAGGTTCACAGATGGCATGAGAACTAGAGTAAGCACTCATCACGAGAGCTTCACGATCACTGGCAATCAGTAGCCAATGCCAGAGCCATGGCTGATCCCGTCAAAGCTGCACAGCAGGGGCTGATGAGATGGCTCAGTGGTTAAGAGCACTGGCAGCTCTTCCAGAGGTCCTGAGTTCAATTCCCAGCACCCACATGGCAACTCACAGCTGTCTGCAACTCCAGTTCCAGGGGATCTGACACCTTCATACCAATGCACATAAAATAAATTTAATAATAAATTATTTTTTAAAAAGCTGCACAGCAAAGGGTAAGGCTGCCAGGCTTAAGAGTCTGTCTGGCAATCCCGATTGATGAGTTGAATGGAGAATAATGAACTTATTATAAGTATGGCCTTAAAGATTCTGTGGCCTAGTGTCCTCATGGCTGCTGCAAAGACAGACCTATCAACCAAGGCTAGCTTCTGCCCTGCTGCTGCCTTGGGGGGGGAGGGGCGGGTCAGTGGCTGAGACACAGACGAGGCCTCCTAAGCCTTCTATTCAGCTGTTCCTCTTCAGCCATCCCTGGGGTGTGGGCTGTATCTCATTGATTTGTCTGTGTGTCTGGTACTGAGCATAGCACGCTGCTTGGCAATCAATGAAATAAAGCACAGAAGACAACAGTGAACGCTTCAAGGAAAGACAAGGCCCATTCTTCTCCATCCCTAGTGTCTAGTGAAAACCATTACAGTATATCTTTCCAATTAGATTTCTGAGCATCGCTCATCCTGTTTCTACTCAGACAGGATCTAATTCAGTATCCACTAAAACCTCCCACGGCATGACTCTGCTGAGGGATGGGAGCCAGGAGCAGCAGGGGTCCGGGAGCAAGCGTTCAGCTAAAGAGGGCTAGCCTCAGGGTCACCAGCCTCAGGGTCACCAGCCTCAGGAGGCTGGCTTGTCAGCATCAGCCTTGAAACAGAAGCTGTGATGGAGTGAAAGCCAATGTGGGGACCCTGGAATGAGGTCCCTAAGTGCTTGCTGACAACACTCATCCAACCCTCAGCCATCCCCCTCACCCACACTGAAGAAACAACCAGTAAGTGACAGGACAACCTTGTAAGCACCAGACTTTGTCTTTGTTGGGCAGGAGAGTAGAAAATACTCACAGTAGAATAGGAACTCTAATCCTTGCCTCTTTCTCCCCGTCTCTAAGTCCAAAGGAAGTATGAGCTCATGAAGTGTTTGGCTTCATGTGTCCTACTTGGAGGGCTTAAGTAATTAAGTCTGCAGTGGCTAAGGCTGTGACCATCTCTCTGTGAAAATCAATGCCCCAGGGTACTCATTACAGTTTGAATATGAAATGTCTCCCACAGGCTTATACTGGGGACTGCACTGCCAGCTGATACATTTTTGGGAAGTGACTGGCTCCTGAGGACTCTGACCTCGCTCCTTATGGAGTTATCATATGGTGGCATTATTTGAAGGTAGTAAATAGCAAGAGGTGGGGCCTAGCTGGAGAAAGTAGGTCCTGGAGACATACCCAGGATGCATCTTGTCCCTTCTGTCTGCTTCTCCCTACTGCCTGCCCACTGAGATGGAGAATGTTGGGACTCCATACCCTTCTGCTGTGGTGCTCTGTCAACAGCCCCAAAACAGCAGAGTCAGTCAACCACGGACCATAACTTTTGAAACTGTGAGTTAAAACAAACCTTTCCTCCTTTTAAGTTAATTATACTAGGCATGATTTTACAAGAAGTGACTAACAGTTCTACAGGGAGCCACTAAAGGGTAGCCACAGCTGAGTCATCAGGATCGGCAGCCTTACACAGACTGCAGCAAGATCTACAAAGGGGCTAGTGCCATGAAGCGGCATGACACACGGTAGCCCTGGGGGGGGGGGGCACTGCCTCCTTTGAGACCCTATCACTTCCTACCTGTGACTCTAATCAAGTGAACCATTCTCTGCTGGTCAGATACTCATGTGTCTGACGCAGGCTCTGAATGAGGTCAGTGAACAGCAACATGTCAAACTGAGAACAATGAGTCTAGCTGGTGATTCCTTATGGGTCCTGGGGAGCTGCTGGCCCTGGTGATACATTTATTAACTCTTTTGAAAATGCACTGTGGCCGGCCTAGTTTTCCTTAATGCCTAATAAAGGGGAAAGTGTTTACATAGCACCCTTGGGCTTGACACTGAGCAGCTCAAGGTAGCACGATCCTTCACTTTCAAAGATTACACAAACCAGCAGCACAGAAGGAAAACAACTCCTTTAGAAGCATGCCATTCTCAGGTGCAAGGACAGCAACCGAACACTGTGTGAAATAAGACAAATGAGGGTAAGACGGGATCAGTCAAGGTGGGGAGAGCCGACACAGCATATGTGGCTTCTGGGGTTTGTTGTAGAATGTGCTCAGGATAAAGAGGGCATCGACATCCTTTAGAACTGGAGTTAGACAGCTGTGAGCCATCATGTAGGCGCTGAGAACTAAGCCTGGGTCCCCTCAGGGAGCAGTCAGTGCTCTTAACCACTGAGCAACCTCCCCAGCCCCACATTTTGGCTTTTTGATCATGGATGTATGACTGACTCTCTTGTCTATAAAACAGGCCTATCGCACCTGTCTCTGAGAATGCTATGAAATAACTGAGGGCTGCTTTCCCCACTTCCTCCCTTGGCCAGGGAACTCTTTTTTCCCCTTTGTCTACAGCTCTTGAGTTACCAACCCTGTGTTTATCAGTTCTGGCCTGCTTTTCTTTGGCTACCACTTTCACACACCAGCTAGGGACTGCCTCTCCTCAGCTGTAGAGCAAAGAGAACATCATCAACACACGGCCCTCCTAGCTACTTCATTCTAACAAGTGTGCTTCAGGCTGGCCCCAAATTCACTTTAGAGCCCAGGCTAGCCCCAAACTCACTTTATAGCCCAGGCTGGCCCCAAACTTACTTTATAGCTCAGGATGGCTTCAAACTCTTAATGTTACTCCTACCTCAGGACCACAAGAGCTGGGATTACAGACATGACCTATGACACCCAGTTAACATGTTATTTCTTATGTGGCTTTATTATTTGGTCAACTAAAATAACTTTAAAGGCTGTAGGAATGAGGGGGAAAGTTTGCCACAGTGACTACCACAAGGTCAGAAAACCTGACTATAAGTTTGTAAAACCTCATTATTAGCATGATTATGGGTTGTATAGGAACAGACAAAATGAAGGTAATTGTAAGGGTTAGAGAACTGCCAACCTCCTTCTCTTGATAGCGTTCAATATTCAATTATCTTTCAGCTTACAAAGTGCATGTTGGGAAGAAAATCTGAGAGGATGTTGACTTCAGCAGCGTACCCACACCATTCCTGCTTGGTGGCCTCCTTCAGCTCGCTGTGCCTTGGGTGGGCTCAGTTCAGGGGCTTAGACTGGCTCTCTCTGGCAGAAAGAACTATACCAGATTGGAAGGGGGTAGTTTTACCTTAACAAAGGCCAGGGCACTGGGTGTAGGGTGGGCAGCTCTTCAAATAGCAGCTGCATTTTTTGTACTCTTGGGGCTGAGGCAGCTGAATTGCTTCCCCTACAGTGCCCTCTTGTGGCAGGCCTGCACTACAGCACATAGCAGCAGGATAAGGAGTCTGACCCGAGCTGTACAGACAAGTGCAGGTTAGAATGAGTGAGCCATCTTGTATTTTTAAAAAATATTTATTTATTTATTTATTATGCATACAATATTCTTTCTGTGTGCCAGAAGAGGGCACCAGACCTCATTACAGATGGTTGTGAGCCACCATGTGGTTGCTGGGAATTGAACTCAGGACCTTTGGAAGAGCAGGCAATGCTCTTAACCGCTGAGCCATCTCTCCAGCCCGCCATCTTGTATATTACACGTCTGTCCTGGTAGAGGTTCAAGTGCCTAAGAAAGAGCAGGAAGTCAGAGTCTACACCAGAAGCACCATGACCGCCAGTGGCACACAGCTTAACGAGGCTTTTCAAAGAGATATTCCAGATCTGGGGCCCGCAGTCTCTGCTCTTTGTTTTTGTTTTTGGTGAACTCTCTCAGCAGTTCCATGACTTCATTTTCAAATATTTCTGGAGCTGGTTTTGCTTCTGCAACAGAAGGGTGGGCAGAAAGAATTGTACCATAGTCAATGCTCACGTGAAGACTTGGAACTATGAAGCTGCATACAGTGCTCATGCCTGTAGTCCCAGCACTTATGAGACTAAGGCAGGATGATTATTGCAAGTTCAAGACCAGCCTGGGTCACAGAGTGAGCTCTACATATCTATAATCCCAGCACTGGAAAAACTGAGGCAGAAGAATCAAGAATTTAAAATTAAAGCCAGGTAAGGTTAGAGCTTGCCTTTAATCCCAGTACTCTGGAGGCAGAGGTGAGTAGATCTCTGTGCATTCCAGGACAGCCAGGGCTACACAGTGAGACCCTGTACCAAAAGGCGGAAAAAAAAAATTTGAAGCCAGACTAGGATACAAAATGGAACCCATCTCCAAAAGCTAACAAAGGGCTCAGGAAATGACCCAGTAAGTAAAGCATTTGGCATGTAAGCATGAGGGAGGGCCTGTGTGTCCAGGACTTACATAATCCAAGTATGAAGGCACACATATGTGATCTTAGTGCTACTCTAACAAGACAAGAGAATCCCTGGAGGGCCTAACAAACTAGGCAAACCTGTTTGCCATGCTTGAATTCCATTCCCGAAACCCATGTAAGGGTAAAAGAGAACTAACTTCACACTCAGACCTCCACATGGGTACTGTAACATATGTATGCACACACCCTCTCTGTCTCTGTCTCTATCATACACACACACACACACACACACACACACACACACACACACACAATTTTTTTTAAAGCCAGCAAACAAAAATGTGATGCAGGAGTTAGAGAGATGGCTCAGCAGTTAAGAGCATCTACTGCTTCCCCAGAGGACCTGAGTTTGATTTTAGCACTATGTCTGGTGGCTCACAACAACCTGTATTCCTGTTCCAGGGGATCCAATGCCTTTGGCCTCCACTGACACACCAGCACTCACATGTGCATACAGACACATATACATACGCATGACGAAAAAGAAAATAAATCCAGGAAGGAAACTATTGTGAGAAATCCATGGTGTCATTGGCTAAATGGCTCAAGTTCCCACAAAAGAAAACTATAAGAAAGCAAGCAATAGAAATAGACTCAGGGATAACTTGCATCAGGACTCCAGGTAAGAATTTAAAGTAATTAGGACGAACATTAAAAGCTCCCATGGAAAAAGCAGGCAAAGAAGAACAGATGAGGCATTTCAGCAGGGAGTGAGAAAGTCTAAATGTCATATGGAAATGCTAAAAATAAAGCCACAGCAGCAGCAATGCAAAATGACTTCATGAAGCTCATCGTGACATCTGACAGAGAGAATCAGTGAAAGAGAGGCCAAGAGATGATGCCAAATACAAAGGACCCAAACTGATTCCCAAAGAGACAAGAGGAGCACACAAAACTGTGGACACACATCATTCAAAGTGCAATCAGAATTGCAAAAGGAAAAGAGGGTATGAAGGAGACTGAAGAATCTTCCATTAATAATCAAAAACATAAAAAGCCAGATCCAACATGTCCAGAGAACCCCAAACAGAATAAATACCACAACAAATACCTAGACATAGTAATATAGTTAGGATGGGGAATGTTCCTCCAAGGACAATGTCCCCATGTGTCCCCAGCTTACTACTACTGGGAGGAAGTGAAAACCTTGGGGGTCCTAGGAAGTCTTCTAGTCATTGGAGATATATTCTCAAAGGGATAACAGGATCCAGTCCCTCCCTTCCTTATCCCTCAACACACCTGATACATGCTTCCTGGCCATGAAGTGAACACTGCTTATCAGGTTCTTTCTGCTGCCATGTGCTGCCTCATCTACTTACCTCAGTTCTTCCAGCACTGGCGTTTGTCACCCAGAGAACGAACTCCTAAAACTGTGAGTCAAACAAACCTTTCTAAACTGGGCATGGTGGCATGTGTCTGCAATTCTAACTACTCAGAAGGGCTGAAGCATGGAAGTTCAGCAGTTTGGGGCCAGCCTGAGCAACAAGAACTCATCTCTTAAAGAATAATTTTAAAATATCTTTTTATTTTAATTTTGGATTTATTTATTTTATGTGTGAGTGTTTTGCCTCTATGTATATGCATGTGCACCATATATGTGCCTGGTGCCCACTGAGGCCAGAAGTGGGTACCAGAACCCTTGGAACTGTAGTTACATACTGACAGCCTGGCAAAAGATGTATGTCTTCATAAAGCACTGAAAAACAAACAAACTTGTGAGCCTTCAGTTCCATACTCAAGATAGAGAATTCAAATAAGCCAATTTGTGCTACAAGTAAAGGAAGTTCAGCAGAGGGATTATGGCAGGATAGGAACAGAGATTTACATAAAGAAACAACCATCTCCAGAAACGGCCAAAGTTAATGAGAGTAAAATACATATTTTGAATTGTTTTCTTTTACTGTACATAGTAAAACAACAGAAATGTGTTCCGGGCTTAGAATAAAGGTCAAAGTAAAAAGAATGACACAGCTTAAGGCAGTGCGTATGTGTGTGGAGAGCGTACACTCTGTTGTAAAGGCCATACATTATACATGAGCTTCACAGGTCTCAAAATCAGACTATAATTATTTAAAGCTGTATATTGTGAACCCAGGAGCAATAATTAAAAACCTAAAGCACATAAGAGTGGCAATACCCACCCCCATACACAACCAAATAAAAGGAAAAAAAAAACACATGGAAGAAACAACAAACAACCAAAAATGGTAGAGTTTAACTCAAACACATTGAGAATTTAGTAAATATGGAAGGTCTAAATCCATTGGTGAAAAGCAGAGACCATCAGATGGGATGAAAAAAAGAAAGACGATGTATTCTGTCTACAGAAAAACTCAATTTAGATATAAAGACAAAGACAGTTTGTGATTTTACAACATATGCACTCCAGCTGGTAATGGAAGGGCACTCAGACAAATGTCAAGTACGAGGGAGGATTGCCACTGCCAGGCAGAGAGAGCTAAGAGCAAACAAGGCCCTCAAAAGCCGAGGGAAACTGGCTGTTGGCAGGTCAAAGGGAACTCAGCCCTCTACTGAAAGGAAACAAATTCTCGGGAAAAAAAAAATGTCAATGGGCTTAGAATTAGATTATTCCCCAGTCTCCAGATGGAACACAGCACACCTGGCTCACTGATTTCGGAGTATGAATATCTGGGCAGAGCTTTTTACCCACAGAACTATGAACCAAGAAATAGCTGTGGCTTCGAATTTAGTAAATGTGTGGCAATTGCTTACAAAGCAAGAGGAAAATAATCCAAACAGGAAGCTACACACCAGGCAAAAACTAATCAAAAGAAACCTGAAGGCCCAGCAAGCTGGTTAGTTGATCAAGACACTTGCTACCAAATCCTAGGACCTGAGTTTAATCCCTGGAACCTCCTACAAGTTGTTCTCTGACCTCCATATGTACACTGTGGTATGCACTCCTCCTCCTCCTACACACACACACACACACACACACACACACACACACACACACACAAATAAACGTTGGGGGGAAAAAAAAGCCAGAGTGCCTATACTAACAGACACCTCAAAGCAAGTATCATTACCAACAATAAGGACAGAGCAACACAAAGGAAGCAATCTTAGGAAGAAAATACAACAGTACCAGATGTGTTTGCACTTAACGCCCGAGCCCTGACAATATGAAGCAAAGACCAAGAAAGGAGAAGGGGGTGACAGACGATCCATGAAGGGAACAGATGTCAATGTCCCTCCCTCAGTAACTGATAGAATAGGCTCAGAAAATCAAAACCATGTAGAACACATCAACAACCTCTTTGTCTCAGCTGTCACTTACAGAATGCTCTGCCCACAAAAACAAAGACACAAAACTAAGTGTATATGGAATATTTACCAAGTACTTGTATTTCAGGCCTGAAAGCAAACTTCAACAAAATCTGGCAAATTCCCAAATTCTTGAAACTTAAACATACTTCTTAATAATTCATAGGCTGAACAGAGTCATGAGAAAAACTATAAAGTAATTTGAATCTTAGGAAAATGCAAGATTACATTAACAGAAAGTTCAAACAGTGCTTAGAGCAGTGTTTCTCAACCTGTGGGTCACAATCCCTTTGGTGTCGAATGATCCTTTCACAGGGGCGAGATATCAGATATCCTGTATTACAATTCATATCAGTAGCAAAATTACAGTTATGAAGCACCAATGAAATAACTTTATGGTTGGGAGTCACCATAACATGAGGAACTATATTAAAGGGTCACAGCATTAGGAAGGTTGAAAGCCACTCAGTTAATGGTATGGGATTTCCTTCTGTATGTGTGCACGGTGGCTCAGAGGCAGTGAACAGACTTCCTCCGCCATGTTGGACTGGGCGGAACAAGCAGGCAGGCCGTATATACCCTAGTAACGGTGCAGCTTAAGTTTTTAAGAAGTACTAAGCATTTTTTTAAATATTTATTTATTTATTATGTATACAATATTCTGTCTCTGTGTATACCTGAAGGCCATAAGAGGGCACCAGACCTCATTATAGATGGTTGTGAGCCACCATGTGGTTGCTGGGAATTGAACTCAGGACCTTTGGAAGAGCAGGCAATGCTCTTAACAGCTGAGCCATCTCTCCAGCCCCAACTACTAAGCATTTTAAGAAGTACTTCTGGTCAAAAAATAATTACAGCTATGCAATAAAGACAAATTCAGATGAAAAAGACCTCTAAACACAGTGTGTTTAAAAAATGTACATAGGCTTGGGAGAGAGAAGAAAAGGAGTATAGAGAGTTATAAAAGAAGTAAATGGTTTATTAAAAAACAAAATCTTTAAAGAGACAGAGTGCAGACAGCCCTAGATTGAAAGCAGTAAAAAAATAATCAGCCATGTAAACAAAGAATATGCAAAGAGAGTCGGGATTATATATACTATTGTTTGCTTTGGATTTTTTGACTGTGAATGACAGACAGACATTTCATTGCATGGGCTGCTAAGCTAAACCAACTTACACTTTAAAGGTATCTTGATTTCAGAATTTGGGTCT